GATCTGTCTTCTTAGCAGAAAAAAACAGCAATTGTGAGAGCTCAAGGATATCTGCACTGGGTGGCAAGGCTGACAGCAGAAAATCAAAGAAATCTTAGCACTGAGGCAACAGTGTAACAAAAAATACGTGTCAGCTCTCCATGGACATGCAGATTATCACTCAGATAAGACTGTGATAGAGGGTAAGAATTCTTTCCCAGTATGGTGTTGACACTGCATAAACCTTAATCTGTTGTTCTTTGATCCTTTCAGATCCCTTGCTTCGGAACACAAACACTAACAAGTTGACAAAAGCTGTGTTTGCACATTATAGCTACTTGCAAACTAGCATTTCAAGTTCAAGTTTAGACATACGAGCATGCAAAGCAAAATGAAGTGGAAAGCTGTGATTTTAATGTGGATTTAATCTCTTTTGTTCTTTGACCTTTTGTGGCTCTCAGAATACATCAACGCTTCTGTCGCATGAGTTGCCTTATTGGCTTAGTTCATGCTGATACAGCCAAGGGAGCATTCAAGTGCGACTAGAAGTGTAGGTTTTGATGGTATTTTGCACTCTTTCTAGCAGCAAGTACTACAAGCACTACCCAATGGTGTATAAATCCTGTGAATCAGCCCAGGCCCCAGCTGCAATCCCAAGTATGGTGACTTCTGCAGCTGGACAGAAAGAGCCTCATACCTCAGCCAGAAAGCAACTTTAGAAAGAGGCGGTTCAGGTGGCTGGCAGTGAACTGAGTCTGGGGGAAACGCCAAGTCTGCTGGGCATCTTCTCTGCAGAAGGACAGAAAAAGACAGAGCAGCACTTGAACAGAACTATAACATCTCATAATACAAATTTTCCAAGTCTGATTATTAAGAAACAGACCACATTTTTAGTGTATGTAATAGGAATTTTTTTCTTCCCTCTTCCCTTTTATGCTGACAAACCTTTTCAACTAACCCCATAATGAAAGTCTTCTAGTTAAAAGTGCAACAGGAACTGTATGATTACAAAAGGGACCCACAGCAAAGAAACCCACAGGGGGAGGAATGAGCTAGCTGAGGCCCTCCACAACAGGGATCAGCCAAGATGGAGCCAGCAGTAATTAGTGGATCACCTATGTGATAACAAGTCTCACACCCTCTCACACCAGACTCTTAAAAAAAAAAAAAACAAACAAGAAGCTTCTGAGATTTCCTCTCACAATCTATCTGTCACCTGTGTCCTCCTCTCCAAAACTGAGCTAGATATACTCTAATAACCATACACGTGATATAAATTAGGAGATTCTCTCCAGGTATATATGTATCCAAACTGCCACTCTGGATAGTAGCAGTGATATTGCTATAACAAGAATATTATATGAAAGAAAAAAAATCTGAGAAGAAAATGGTATTATTTTTCTATTTGAAATCTGAGAAACAATTGGTACTGATGCTTAACATCATTGGAGATCACCAGAAGAAAAACAAATGGGTATTTATCCACTGTAAAATGGACTTGCATCTTGTCGGGATCAGGTGCAAAATAAAAAACTGCAGGTGTAGTGTTGAGAGTTTTTCATTTAATTGGCTCAGTCTTAGAGGGAGGAAAAGTTAAGCCTATTACATGGAAAAATCAGCAAGATTTAGGAGTATCCTGGCTATTCAAACTTAGAGAGCTAAGTTCAGTGACCTTCATGTTATAGACCAGTGACAGCTGTGGTGGTAAAATTGTCCACTGAGGAGGCTGAGGGGAGACCTCATCGCCCTCTACAGCTACCTGAAAGGAGGTTGCAGAGAGCTGGGGATGAGTCTCTTTAACCCAGTAACAAGTGATAGGACAAGAGGGAATGGCCTTAAGTTGCACCAGGGAAGGTTTAGACTGGATATTAGGAAGTGTTTCTTTACAGAACAGGTTGTTAGGTGTTGGAATGGGCTGCCCAGGGAGATGGAGTCCCCATCCCTGGAGGTGTTTAAGAGTCGGGTTGACATAGCACTGAGGGATATGGTGTAGTTGGGAACTGAGTGTTAGGTTAATGGTTGGACTGGACGATCTTCAAGGTCTTTTCCAACCTTGGTAATTCTGTGATCATGAAAAGCAGTAGCAGAATGAGTGAATATGAGTTTGAGGAGAGACTCAATATAGCCATGTAGGTCTGAGCATCCTAAGATAAAGAGCCTCAGATATTTTCCTCACACAGTGAGTTTTTTAAAGCTAGATCTTGTCATATTTAACAGGACAAATCCTTTTGTATTCCTTTGGCATGATGCTTTTATAAGGTAGCTCCTAGCTTATGTTTGGGTATCACTAGTTTACTGCAACTATGCCACACCTGCCTTCAGAGTATGCTTCAGTCAGTTCTCATTTTAACTTTTTTGACTGCGTATTTCTTCTTCAGGAGACCTGAGGTAGGAAAAACCCTAGGTGACCAGAAAAGACTGGTATGTGATATATCCATGTATATCTGAAAATTAAGATGTATGACCTGCAGTTGTTTCAGAATTGACAGAGCAACTAGCTGGACTGCCAGATTTTACCATTTGTCAGACATAGTTTTCACACTTCATAAGGCTGGCTTTCACACTGGTGCTACTTTCCTTAACAGTTAATAAATTCCATCCAAATCTCCAAGTTTTTCACATAGCTAGCTGGAGAATACCTCTGATAAGGCGTGCTTGTGCAGCTTAACAGACCTCCATGGAATGCCATGCCAGATTTTCCATTGAAGGAAATACAGATAATTCCTAAACAGTGAATGTTGAAACCAAATGATTGAATAAGAAGTAAATGTACTGTAGAAGGCTAAAAAGGAAATAATTACTGGAAGTGAAATCATTAAGAGAAAGCCACTTATATCAAGATCTGATTCAGTTAAATAACAACATTGGTATATCCAGTACCAAATACAGATATAACAATGGATCACAGTGGGGAAAAAAATGTTTCTGCATTTTGTGTGTGTTTCATTTTTTTCAGAAGAGCAAAATCCATGGAACTGCTTTTGGAAAACCATCCTTAGGCATTAGAAGGTTGCCATCTGCTTGCTTTCTTTTGTTTCATCAAAGATAAAGCAGACTCACAACACCCAAGCATCACCATCCTTACAAATAAAGATAACTTTATATATTCTTATAAATAGGGGAAAGGCCTAAACATCTTACAACATTGCTTCTGGCTGAATAGCCTTCAAATATAAGAATACAAGGAATTTCCTTCTGGGTCTCACCGTTGGGCCACCTAGCCCAGTAGTACCTCTTAGACTCTGGCAATGTGAGGTGAGCACATGAGGCTGGGACAGTATCTGTGGTCCCTTTCCCTCATATTCCCCAGCATCCAGAATTGTTGTATGAGGTATGTTAGAGAATAAACGCTTGCCTAATTCTTATGAAGTCCATATATATACTTGCTGTCCTTGAATTTGTCTAATCCCTTTGAATCTCCTGATACTATCAGGTTCCACAGTCCCTCATGGCAACAAGTTTCAGAAGCTTAATACCTGCTGTGGGAAGAACTTTCTTTTATCTACTTAAAACAGTTACTAGTGTCATGGAGTGCTCCACACCTCTGGTATTACAAGATTTGCTGAATAACACTTTCTGCATTCACCTCATTGTCTTCATGTTTTTGCAAATCTAAATTACTAGCCCCTCCAGCTTTCTCACCTTCAAACTGAAGTTCTATTAACCCATACTTAAGCTCATCTGCCAAGTTTGACCTACTCAGTTTCATGAGGTTCTAGAGTTCTTCACTATTAATCTGTCATATGAATGCACAAAAGAGCTTAGTATCATTTGAATCCTTGGATGTTTTACTGTACACTACCTTCTCTATGTTAGTCACGAAGATGATAAGTAAAATCAGTCCCAGCACTGACTGTTGGAGGACCCCATTGCTTGACTCCATTCTGAGCAGCTCTATCTTTTGCTTGTCTTTTTAAAATCAGATTTCAATCCACAAATGAAGCATTCTTCATATACCATGGAAAATTATTGTTTTAATAATGTCATTTTGAAATACAGTTAATATATTCCATGCCACATAAAAGAAGATACTGCTGCACTGCTTATTTTAGTTACTAATTTCAAATGCTTATATTTGGCTAGGTGAGGGCTTCCCACAAATACAGGAGGAAAAGCTGATAGTCTTCAAAAAAACCTTGTAGATCCTGCTTGAAAACCACAGATATTTGTTTAGAGAGACTGCATGCCAAGATCTATACCTGTGCTATATCTCAGGCAACTCTCCTTATTCGTAACTCTCCTAAGGTCTCCTTCTGATCTTAGGGTTCAGTTTTCTAACCTCTGAGAATATGGATTAACCTAACTGACTTAAACTGTTTGATCTGGAAATGGGATGATTCAGTGGAATTGTAATGAATTTACACAATGTATCTGAGAGAGTTTAGCCTGAAGTATGCAGTAATGTGCAAAAATAAATGATGTTTTTAATAAAACAAGTCAAATTACTTTGTGTGGGAAAGAGAATGTTTAAAAATGTTTCAACATCTTTGTGTTTCCCATTAGTCTCTCTTGGATCATGGAAAAAATGTAAACTTCAGAAACCAAAATTTCTTAGGCTACTTTAACTCTGTGTGTCTCTATTCCACCTAGAGTTCAGTGTCTTTCTCATACTCCTATACTTGCCCATGGTCTATTATAAAGTTGACCAGTCATTGACCAATATTTCTGTTCTGTCATAAATGGGTACAGCCTTTTCTGCTCAATGTTTGTGTAAGTAGGCATTGTCAGGATGGCTGAAGAAGACAGTACATACTAATGCTGCAGTAACCAGAAGCTCCACAGCTACAGTGAATCAGCTTAGTAAGAAAGAGTTACGAGTCTCGTGAGTAAACAGCTAGAAAATATTTCCACAGGAAGAGCTTCTTAATCTGGTTCAGATTGTTTCTCTGAAGAAGCGGTTTTAAGGACGTAGTTTTTTCTAAACAGTACCTAATGACCCACATATCACATTAATATGTATTATGGTTTTGTTACTGCAGCTTAGAAATATGAACTGGAAATCTGATGAAGATATAATTTTATTTTGTATATTCCTGGACATTATATGACAATAGTAGTAGAGATTCAAACAATTCATAACCTGTGATAATGCTTTTACTGTCACTAATAAAAGGACAAATAAATTTACTTTTAAAATGCACAAATTCCAAAAGAAAATGCAAATTCAATATCTAATATAAAATTCAATAAAAACATCTGAGTTGATATCACTCTGCCAGTTTAGGTCAGATGTAAATATATTGCTGTTTTTCTCTACAATTGTAAGTAGAAAACTTTTAAGATTATATAAATGTGTTAGCAAGGGAAGAGTTAATCCTTTGAGAACAAAAGTTTCATCCATAATAATGTTTTGTTTAAACTTCAACTTGGGTATACCCTAAATTGGACTTATGCTGACAAATTCAATCCTACATGTAAACAGCAAATTGTATAAACAACTAGCTCTTTATTAGCCAAACTGACCATTTTATAGAAACAAGCCAAGGTATAAATACACATACATGTATGTTTGGGTTCACATACATACACATGAATGGAAGCATTTACAGAATTGCTACTGGAAGTTTGTCCCTTACTGTACCCTAAATTTGTATTTGCTCATTGGAATTTATCTTTTCTTAATATAGTGCATTATAGAATACACACACAAAAAAAGAAGGAAACTGGTTTCACAGTGCTCCACAAAAATTTTCATGTTCTCAGCTTCTGAAACATTTAAGATTATTAACTTGCTGTCAGGCTCCCAAGGAATTTTGAAGCATCTGTGCCTGTGCTACTTATTTTAAGCTCTGTCTTCCAATGTTATTAAATCAGCAAACCTTCTTAGTAATTCCATTTCATGTGGTACTGGCTTTCAGGCAGATTCAAGAATGACATAATTTTCTTTTCCCACCCACAGATTTTGGACTGTTGCCATTGGTTACACCCTTCAGAGTAATGTGCAACATGAATCTTTGTCTGATCCCATATGACCATAAATGGAAGACAGCCCAGCAAAGATGACTAAAACACAGTTTCTTGGCTTTGTGTTGAACACCACCACAGGTAGAGTAAGGTTTCTTTGGGTTTTTTTCCTATTGGCAAATATTACTTAGGCTACAGTGCGGGAATGTCAGTCCAACGTCATGTTGTTGTAAGAGGAAGTAGACTGATTTCCCAATAAACTTTACTCCTGTTATGGGAGGGAGAGCAGATATCTTGAATGTAGTAGCAGCAAATAAATAACTCTTCAAAGTCGTTCTTTTTGTATTTTTTACATTTTGAGAGCATTTATGCAAATGAACTCAAAGATTACAGAATACTTAATTTTTGTTAAAAACCCTAGAACATGGCTAGTATGTACTCATAAGCACTGTCTCAATCATACTTCTTATTGATAACAATACTGGATTCAAGTACCAAGCTCCACAGCAACAGGATAAACATTATGGAGAAAAGGCACTTTCTGGAGTTTGTTATCAACATTAGAGAATTAGAAGCAATTTACAGTTCAGTCCCACTGCCCAATCTCACAAGCCTCTCCTGACTTCCCTGAAGACTATGCAAGTGTTTGTACACATAAGAAATATGGCATATTAACACAGCACAGAAAGCAAGGTCTCCAGCTATGCATAGTGCAACACTAAGGCACCATTGTAAAGTGAAAGCAGGATGCAGAACACCTTGCCCTAGACCCAGATTCAGAATTTCAGAGAAAGAAGAATTCCTTTGCCCTTGGAGAGGGCAATGTGTGCAGTAATGGCACAGCTTAGTCTGCCTTGGCTGTTCGCTCTGGACTCACTGTTCCCTGCAGAAGTTCTGAGAGTGCTTTTATGTGCCTGTCTGGTCCATACTGGTCAGCACAGGGGGATACACCTATCCTTCCCCTTGTACTTTCTACATCAGTCTAAATCTTGATTCACCCTGCAGATTAGCTCTAATGACAACCTGATCTGTATGCCTCTGTCACCAAAAATATCTAGCAAAAAACACCATTCCTCACCTAAGGACGTTCATTTGCAGGATTTGTCTCCAGAAGATCTTCTCTTTACAGTTACACTTTTCATGCTTGATCAAATTTTTAAGCACTGCACAACATCATGGCTACTTGGACCTCTTAAACTCAGGACTACTGATAGGCTCCAGGTCACCTTCAGGGCAGTTACTTACAAGTTGGCAATTACACTGCTGCTTTAAGAGCTCACACTGAACTGCCAGGCAAATAAAAAAGCATGTATCATGTTCAAGGAAACACTAGTACATGTCCAGAAGAAATGGAGAAGAATACATCAAGTTATCACAGTAAAAATAAGTTACCTAACCTGAAAAGATAGAACAATCCTGACTTCTGATTTCTTTCTCTTATTGGTGAATGAGTCAATTCTAAAAAAAAAAAAAATACAACTGGGCAATGTGAGGCAAAAACTTGGCACCAGGATGTGCAGTCTAAAGAATGAAGAGGACAAGCTAGAAGACAGAGTTCTCATAGGATTTTTTTTCATTATCAGACACACTCTTGTATCTCCACTTAGCCCTCTTCTAAGTTCAGTGCAGCTGAGAGTCATGCCGTTCTCTCACTCCCAGCAGTGTGTGATAATCCATTTGAACAGGTATTTAGCAGGAAGAAAACTGTGAGAGGCTAGAAAATGAGACAAATTGATTGTAACAGTCATCAAAGAGTGGAATTTACTGCAACAAGGATTCCATGTGAAATGGGTCCAGAGGATTATTTCTTTCTTTAGACTCTGTTCACACTGCAAGCTACAGTAATATTATTGTTTCTGTGATAGAAATTACCTGGCTAATAAGTTACAACATATTAAGAAAGGAATAATAAGAAAATCCTATAAAATTCTGTGTTGGTGCTATTAAAAAAATTCAAGACATTCTGAAAGTGTCCTCTCAGTGCAATAGTTAAATTCTTGGTAGTTTTTTCAAATTTATCTGCTCTTTGCTGACGGAATAGAATAAAAGAATATTTAGATGGCCAAGCTCTTAAAATTTTACTAAGTATCTTTTAACTCTGCCTATAATGAAAACTATTTCTTCTAGTAATGCAATTACTGTTAATACATGTTCTGATACAGAGAAAGAAAATCTGGCTTAGCTGCAGTGGAATTGTAGTTATTTATACCATTAAATTCGCCTGCCTACTTTAACATTGACACAAAACATTTTAGTTTCTCATTAATACCATTACACAAGCACTTTCAAAAATACTTAAAAATCTTATACATCCCATACTTTTACTATACATAAAAACAAGAATAGCTATGAAAGTATTCAACTTCTGCCATTATCTCACAGCAGGAAGATAATAAGATATTTCTCTAGAAAGACAGTAAACAGGTAGGTAGGTATATGTTATGATAGACTATATCAGTTAATACTTTATTTCTGGAGCAGATGAAGGTTAAGAATCCAAAGTACTGATTCAACCTTCTCTAACTACCTTACCTGTGGGAATACTTGGGGCGAGTTGTCAGCTAGAATCGCCACCCCACAGTGGTCAATCTTAATGGAAAACCAGAGTCTGAATTACTGGCTAGAGCTGAGCACACAAACCAAACATTTTCTGTGCTGAGTTTAACAGCACTCACATCCTTAGTAGGTCTGCTTTTTGATAATATTCTAAAAAATAGTCAAGCATGTTGCAAAAACAAAACAGGTACACTTATTTAGCAGCATATTTGCACAAAGCTAAAGCTGAATTTCTTTTTTAAAAACAGCGGCAGTAAAGGACAATTCTGTGAGTAACACACAGTTAATCAATAGACAGGAGATATCAGATCATCCACCCACACATCAAAACAACCTGTACTTGAAAACAGAACATTGCAATGAGTGACTCATGATGAATTGTACTCCATACTGGACAGGTAAAGACTGTATTTGTCAAATTATTTATTATTGTTAAAGCCATGTTCTTTTTATTCTGTTTTTAAATTTCCCTCATGTAAAGTGCAAACACCCCTGCATTTAAAAGATATGAATTTAGTCCTCAGATTTCAAAAGATCAAACTAAAATAAGCATTTGGTAATGCTGGTCTTTTAGTGTTCATAATTAAAAAGACAAATTCCTGTACTAGACATGTTTCAGCAGGTAGATGCAGGGACAGTTTTCATCAATGTATTAAGTGCTTACATATCTCTGTTCCCATTTAAATTTGCAATAAAACTTTTACTGACTTGAATGAGGGAAGTAAGCGAATTCAGCCTTATGTACTGAAAATCCTGCTGCTAATTTTCAAACAGTTTAACAGAAGGAGTGTTCATGGTACCGACATATTACTACAGTATTTATTGTACCATTTGGTTATTTTTCATTTCATTTCATTGGTGACACATTGGTCTGCACTGTGTTGAGATGCAGCTGACATTTAAATGTTGGTTTTAAACCATGTAAGATTTCTTATTTAAAAATAAACTTGGAAGTCTGGAGAAAAATAAAAATTAAATAAGCCTATGAATTAAATCACTTTTACTGGCACTTTTTGCCTTACACAAATTTTTTTTAAAGACTATCTAAGAGATAGAAACAAGACTGCTTCATTCGTTCATGGGCGATACTTTGGCTCCATGTGCATTTATATAAGTAAGAAGAATTTTGGACCTCCTTTCTATTACATCAATGAGCTTTTCAATTCCTTTTCTGCCTCCTTGGCTCTCCCAGTATATTTTGTCAAGGAACAAAGACTGAAGCAACTTCTCACGTAAATGCTGGCTCCTCAGCACTGAAACTGCAGATTCAGGGAATCTGGAAAAGCACAAAGAAATTCATCAGCTTTGCCATCAGTCTGAATTACAATATTTATGTTGTGGTTTAGCAATCAATTCTATGAATATAGACTGCAATTCAGCAAAGGAAGTCCATGCATGCCCAATCATATGCATGTTAATTGTATCTTCTACAGCAGTGGAATTACTCATACATTTTTAGACACATCCTGTACTTGGGCTGACGATATCTCTTCCAGTAACTTAAGTGTTTCATGCTCAAACTGGAAAGAAATTATCAATCTTTTCACAAAATTAATAACTTAAAACTTACTCATTGATTCCTTGTAGTATTTTGAAGTCAAGATTGTCCTCATTTCTGTCAAAGAAACCCTTATTGTCTATAAAGACCAAGTGTCTTCGGTCATGCCTCCTCTGAACTATGTGTGTCAGGTCAACAGCATTCTGATCGCTACATTTCAGCTTCAGTCCCTGCTGCATGCAGGAGTCTTCCTTGAGAGGTTTGAATCCACAGCAGTTTCTGTCTAGTCGATTATAGATCTAAAACAAAATACAGCAGAGTGCCAAGTGAAAACACTATCAAAGTATTTGGGGTAAAGTGTCACTGTAAGACATCGCTCACTAACACAGCTGATGGGAAAGCAAGCTCAGGACAAGTATAATTAAAGTCAGCAGTGAAATAGCATTGAAGACCTGGTCCCCATGCTTCATGTACTGCTAGAAATAATTTCTCAGACTGTGTATTTTATCTATTTTATAGCCATGATTTGTTATGTCAATAGAAATTCTTTGAAAATAATGGAACAATATCACTGTGTAACTGGAATAACAAGATGGTGAATATAATTCTATTTTTTTCAGAAGTCTGTAGGTTTTTTATATTTTCTCTTCTGGAGAACAATAGAAATAGCACGGCCTCCCATTTTGTGGGACTTACTAAACTAATAGTATGCAAAATAATTGAAAATAGTTGTAAGGGGCACAATAAACCATTAGAAGCTACAAAATGCAAGAGGAGTGCTTTTATGCTCTGTGATCAGAGCAGACTCCCTGAGTTGCACTGTGGTATATGCTTTAATGACATGGTCTAGGCTCTTTTTTTCCCATGCAAACCCTTGCTTATTCATTGCACTGCTCTTAGCTGGAAAGAATATATTTGATCTAACTTTAGTGGTGTAAATGTTAAGCATCTCTTCTGACTTAGTCGTTTATATTTCCTTTCATAAACAATGGGAAGAACAAGCCATCCCCAGAGCAAAGGATGCCATTTTAGGATAACCATCTAATATAGGAAGGATAAATCACTCCTTCAAAGTGCTTCTACCCCTATTAACTAAATGAAAGTAAATACACGACATTGCTAGTGAGTTCAAAAATAGGCATTAACTGCCCCAAATGGCCTCACCTGAGACCATCACACACATCCCCCCTCTGCCCATGGGCCCAGGAGCCCCCTTTAAGCTCAATTGTGGCACATTAGCACTCTCCTGAGCTCTTCTGGGAAAGGTGTATCTGCTGCTTGTCTTGTTACCCAAAGTTTCTGCATTGCTGCTTGGGGTTCCTGATCCTTGGCCTTAGAGCTGGCTTGCTGCCTGTTGTTTACTGGCAACAGTAAACAAAAATAGAACCTATGCCTTTTACCATCCTTCTTGCTGGGCTGCCTCTCCTACCGCTGGCCCTGCCTGTCCTGCCTGCTGTAGGGCTGCCCTTGGCTCCAGCTCATCTCCCCAGGGAACAGCTCTGCTCCTGCTGACAGGTGTTTATGAAGTGGAAGTCTGGTTTGGTGCACCTAAGGCTTCAATGAATATCTTATCAAAGGTAAACAATTTCTGTCCTTGTTTGTTTTTATTGCTAACTCTTCAAACTGCTCTAAACATCAAAGCATTAATGTTCACAGTAGCCTTCTAAAATTACAATTTTTGATTTGTGACACCCCAGTGAAATGAACTATTAGGACTTTTCACCTGATGTAGAACTATGTTGTGTGTTGAAAAGGCCTCCTAATTTTGCTAGTTAAAAGAAAGTCTGAATTGTTTTGTTTTTTCTTATATATGCAGTCTTGGTGGCAGTGTCTATTTTCAAATATGAAAATCCTGAGAAAAGGAACAGGTTTCTCCTTTCTCCTTTCATGAGCAGCATTCAGTATCTGCAGACACTGGAGTCCCTCTTGCTTGCAGTGTTCTAGCTCATGGGATCTCTCATTCAGTTCATCACAAGGCTTTGTCAAAAAGTGAAGCAGAGTCCTTCTAGACAGATTCCTTTGATGTATAACCCTGAGACATGGTGGGCACTGTATGTTAAGGACTGTTATGATTCCTTTGAGCACAAGTATAGTGAAGACAGGGTGGAGTGTCTTTGTGTTAGAATCAGGGGGAAGGCCAACAGGGCAGGTGTTGTAGTAGGAGTCTACTATAGGCCACCCAACAAGGACAGAGAGGTGGGTGAAAGATTCTATAGGCACTTAAGAGAAATCCCATGATTGTTTGCCCTTGTTCTTGAGGGAGACTTTAACTTCCTAGACATCTGCTGGAAATACAACACAGCAGAGCGGGACCAGTCCCGGAGATTCCTGGAATGTGTGGGAGACAACTTCCTGACACAGCTGGTGAGTGAACTGACCAGAGAAGGTGCCCTGCTGGATCTCCTCTTTGTGAGCAGAGGACTGGTGGATGATGTGGCAGTTGGAGGTCGACTAGGGCACAGTGATCATGAAATAATAGTTCTCTATTTTTAGAGAGGATAGGAGAGGGGACAGCAGAACTGCCATCCTGGACTTGCAAAGGGCTGACTTTGACTTGTTTAGGCACCTACTTTACAGAATCCTTTGGGATATGGTCCTGAAGGGCATAGGGGTCCAGGAAGGCTGGGCACTCTTTAAGAAGGAAGCCTTAATGGCTCAGGAGCAGGCTGTCCCCAGGCACTGTACAAAAAGCTGGTGGCAGATACCACCCTGGATAAACAGTGAGCTTTGATTGCAACTCAGGGAGAAAAGGAGAGTTTACTGCTTTTGGAAGAAGGAGCTAGCCACTCACAGTGATTACAAAGAGACTGTGAGGATATGCAGGGTGGAAATCAGGAGGTCTAAAGCCCAGCTAGAAATTAATCTGTCTTCAGCAATCAAGGACAAGAATAAATGTTTCTGTAAGTATGTCAGTACCAAAAGAAAGACAAGGGAGAGCCCCCATCCCCTGCTAGATGCAGGAGAAAACATGGTAACAAGTGATGAGAGAAAGGCTGAGGTACTTAATGCTTTCTTTGCCTCAGACTTTAATAGCAAGTTGTATTGAGGGAATCCAGCTTCAGACAGAAGACAGAGGCTGGGAGAATGACCCTCTCCACAATCCAGGAGGAGAGTCAGTGACCTACTGCATCCCACAGACATACACAAGTCTATGGGACCTGATGGGATACACCCGAGGGTGCTGAAGGAGCTGGCTGGGGTGCTCGCCAAGCCGTTTTCCATCATTTACCAGCAGTCCTGGCTGACCAGGGAGGTCCTGACAGATTGGAAATTGGCCAGTGTGACGCCCATATGTAAGAAGGGTCAGAAGGATGATCTGAGAAATTACAGGCCTGTCAGCTTGACTTTGGTGCCCAGGAAGCTGATAGAGCAGCTCATCCTGAGTACCATCACACAACACATGTGGGACAACAAGATGATCAGGCCCAGTCAGCATGGGTTTGTGAAAGGCAGGTCCTGCCTGACAAACCTGATCTCCTTCTACGACAGGGCAACCTGCTTATTGGATGAGGGAAAAGCTGTGGATGTTTTTTACCTTGACTTCAGTAACGCCTTTAACACTGTTTCTCACATCATTCTCCTGGCAAAACTGGCTGCTCAAGACTTGGATGGGAGCAAGCTTTGCTGGGTAAAAAACTGTCTGGATGGCCGGGCCCAAAGAGTTGTGGTGAATGGAGTTAAATCCAGTTGGCGGCCGGTCACGAGTGGTGTCCCCCAGGGCTCGGTGTTGGGGCCACTCCTGTTTAACATCTTTATTGATGATCTGGATGAGGGGATTGAGTGCACCCTCAGTGAGTTTGCAGATGACCCCAAGTTGGGTGGGAGTGTTGATCTGCTCGAGGGTAGGGAGGCTCTGCAGAGAGACCTGGACAGGCTGGAGCCATGGGCTGAGGCCAACTGGAGGAGTTTCCATAAGGCCAAATGCCGGGGGCTGCCCTTGGGCCACAACAACCCCCAGCAGCGCTACAGGCTTGGGGAGGAGTGGCTGGAGAGCTGCCAGTCAGAGAGGGACCTGGGGGTGTGATTGACAGCTCGATGAACAGGAGCCAGCAGTGTGCCCAGGGGGCCAATAAGGCCAATGGCATCGTGGCTTGTGTCAGCAATAGCGTGGCCAGCAGGGACAGGGAAGGGATCTGACCCCCGTACTCGGCACTGGTGAGGCCGCCCCTCGATTCCTGTGTTCAGTTTTGGGCCCCTCACTACAAGAAGGACATTGAATGACTCGAGCGTGTCCAGAGAAGGGCAACGAAGCCGGTGCAGGGTCTGGAGCACAGGTCGTGTGGGGAGCGGCTGAGGGAACTGGGGGTGTTTAGTCTGGAGAAGAGGAGGCTGAGGGGAGACCTCATCGCCCTCTACAGCTCCCTGAAAGGAGGTTGCAGAGAGCTGGGGATGTCTCTTTAACCAAGTAATAAGCAATAGGACAGGAAAGAATGGCTCAAGCTGTGACAGGGAAGGTTTAGACTGGGTGTTAGGAAGTATTTCTTTACAGAATGGGTTGTTAGGTGTTGGAATGGGCTGCTCAGGACATTGTTGAAGTCTCCATCCCTGGAGGTGTTTGAGTCGGATTGACGTAGCACTTAGAGATATGGTGTAGTTAAGAATGGACAGTGTTAGATTAATGATTGGACTGGATGATCTTCAAGGTTTTTTCTAACCTCGGTAATTCCGTGAATCATCTGCACCACACATCTTTACATGCATTAAATAGACAAGGAAATCATGCTCTTACAGACAGCCTCTTCGTAATATCTTGTATCATTCCAGTGTTAAGGCAGAATGATAGGACACTCTGGAATTGATGCTGTCATATTCATAGTTTAATATTGGGTTTTGTCATAAATTGTCATATTTTGTCATATTGTCATATTTTGTCATACATGAGAGGTCCAAACTTCCCAAATGAAAGAAGCCATTTTACATTTAATATCTTTTTCTTGAGGGTTTTTTTTTTTTTGTGCAGAAGGCAAATGAAGGTCAGCTATAAGGATTTTTTAACCTGTTCCTACATTTTATAGTATTTGAAACCAGAGATTAGGAACACCAAACCCATTCTTCTGATGGAACTGTGTTTAATAGAGAATACTTTACACCATTGTTCTTTATTTCTGCATGTATCATGAAGCACAAATTATTTTAAGATCGGAACCCCTTCTGACACTTTTTGATTTAGAGTCTTCATGTTCTACTGCTGATAAACTTTAAGTATGAAAGCACCCAGATAAAATTTTAATCTTTAAGAACAATAAGACACATTCAGTCATGTTCTGGTATGTATGTTCTTGTCTGATAGGAACCTGGAGGTACAATCACACTGATACCAGCTACTATTTTAAGAATAATTTGTTTGTTTTTAATGTTCAGTCCTGTTGGTACAGTTCAATCCTGTCATATGTTAACTGACCACTTCTTCTCGATAATAGAAGTTCTATTATGAAGATTTTCATGTTGTCTTAGAAGACCTTAAAATTAGAAATCAACACAACTCATGAGAATTTTAAACTGTTCAACAAGCAGCCAATGGCATGAAAACATTAATTCTGACACAGTCCATACTATTTCTATAGGGGCATTACTATGTTTAGCATCAGAATAAATCCACATATGACTTTATACTAGTTTCTAAGAATTACTAGTTCATAGTGGGACTAAAGATGGAGTCACAAGTGACAATCTATTTTTAGAGAAGAATTGAATGCTCTGTTTAACAATAACAAGTCTGCAAAAATGTAACTCCCAGAACAGTTGGAAACATCCATTCATCCTAGAACAGGACTGAGAATGGCAAGGATAGGCTATATGTAAGCCAAGTCATGATTTTTATATTTCAGTGAATGTAACTCTATAAAAAGCTGAATTATATGAACAACCAAACACAGTGCATACAACTAGTGCTTGCTGCAGTTTTAAATAAACTGGTAAGTGCTACAGGAAGCTCAGTCACCCAGACCTGTCTGGCAGTCAAGGAGAGTTAGAAATAGTGCCATATCTCAGGAAGCCATAAAATTAACTTCCAGCCAGGTAGTTCAGTCCTTATTAATACTGGGAGTGTATTAATATTCTACTACATAATTGCTGTCACTGTAGCCATGCATTATGATACTACTGGGCAGGGCCCTAATTTGGTGTTATTTGGAGAGCTAATGATTATGTGCATTACCTAATTGAGGCACAGCAGTCATATCATTCATCACTGAGTACGTTTTCAAAAAGAAGGAGAATTAGCCACTAGAACTATTACCTGGATCCAAATTTCAGCTGGCCAAAATCCCTTAAATCAATCCTGGGGGCTAGGGAGATGCAAGAAAGACCACATGGTTCACAGTTGTGAACACAGTCAAGAACTATGTTTGGAGAAACAAGGAGTCAGGGAGAAACAGTATGCATGCCTCAAGATGAGGTAAAACAAGATGACTCAAGACAAAAGCCCTTTCTTCCTCTTTTAGAAAATGAGACAGTCAAGTTCCTGATCTATATCCCTGATTATAAGTTGCATTTTGGGTATTTTAATCATAAGAAACAACCAGAAAAAAGTTCAAACTCTGCAAATACATCTCTTCCCCATTTAAATAAAGGAAATAAACTACTTTTTTAGGAGTCCCATGTGTGCTCAATGACTTTTGAAGCAGATAGTTGCATTCAGTAAATGTTTTACCTGCAGAAGGAAATCAAAGAGTGCCATCTTGGACCACTCATGATGATGGATTTCGGTACAGCCCCACTCAGCTTTGGGGACTTTACCATTCTGCCAGCATTTATGCTTCAATAGCTGCTGATATTTCCCCCAGGTTAATCTCACTGAAGAATGGGTATTATTATCTGTTGGGCTCAACGAGGAATCCCAGAGAACAACAGGACAGGCTTGACCATCTGAAAAAGGAAAAAGAGATCACTGGTATAGTGCAATACTGTCTGACTTGATCATTCTTTAGACATTGCCTCAGCATCAATAATTACACAATTTTACAGATGTGGCAGGAAAAATGGCCAGGGACTAATAACTTGACATCCTTTTGTTAATGTGGTCTTATTCCACATATAAAACCACCCACTGCAGGAATGGAAGAAGCACAGACATAAATGTCTTCAGTGTACAGAAGGCTTTGTTAGAAGCAACAGACTAACGTACAAAATTATGTACTAAAGAATTTATAGGTAGATTATGAGCCTACAATGCCACTGTGAATCAATGATGTAATTTCCCTCTGATTCCAGTGAACTGATGATGATTTACAGGAACTGAAAACTGACATCAAAGTACATTTTCTGTATAATGGGCATAGAAACACTACAAATCCTATAATAAAAATGGATTTATTTTGTCATCTTTATCATTTTAGACTTATAATGTATGATTACATAGTTTTGAAATGATATGAGAATACTAGAGTGTGTGTGCTTAGCTTGAATAAACAGCCTGACAAATATTTTTTTTTACCCAGGTATAGCATGAGATATGTTTTGCATAGCAGTTATTTTGATCACATTCTTTTATTCTTCTGTGTAAAGAATATTCTGCTCTTCCCTGAAACTAAGTCAAGGGCCTCAGCTTTGGTGAAACCAAGTGTTCATAGCCCCTAGTAGGAAGAAACCTTAGCAAAGAATTTAAAATTAGCTTTCCCAGTATAATAATTGTTAAATATATTTAACCCAATATCAAGTAACAGGCACATTTATCTTAGAACAGTGGAACTCTCCTTTTCATTGCTGATGCAATGCTGCTGCTGTCCTAAACTGTCAAGGACCCAGGACTGACTGTGGCTTGTACATATATTAGAACAAATAAATTCTTCCTGGTTTTTGGTGTAGACAGAAGACCAAAATATGATATCTTGGTACAGAGAGGGGGAACCATTTAACTGCAAAGCTGCTGTTTACTAAATAGCAAGTGTTGGAACACATATAAAGCTTTAAAATTTATTTATATTGATCTTGAAGGTCAATGAACCTAAAGCCCATATTATTGTACAATTTATCACATAGCTAAATGCAGCCTAAACTGTCCCTTTGTCTTCCACATGCCCATGAGATGCAGCTGAAAAGAAGCTTTCAGAAACTTGCATGAAGGCAACAAGATCCATGGCCTCTTCTTCTCCAGAAGCAAACCAGACAGAATAGCACATAGAAAACAGGCGTCAGTGCCAATCGCAAGGTAAAAGCTAACATGAATGCTCCATCTGTAAAAACTGTTTAAAAACTCCATACAGCAGAATCAAAAAGCAACTTGCTTGAAGAATGCTGGCTGACCTAAAACAGGTAAGAAATTATTTTTGCCCATACTTAACAGTGAATCCTCTTGAATTTGCCAACAGAGCTTGACAGGCTCACATGCAATCAAGCCCAAGAGGAAAACAAACTCCTCTGCAAAACCAGAGTGTACTCTATCTTTCTCTGCCATGGCTTGCACATACAAGATAGTCCACCTCAAGCCAACGCAAGATGTAGCTCTACCACCTCTTTCATTTCTCTCCCAGTTGCCTTAATGTTTCCTTAGAACACAGAAAGTGTCCTTCCATTAGGAATATCAATGTCTCTTTCACTAGGACCAGTATTACCTTTATCAGCATCACGCTCCACACTTTCCTCCACTGACAAAAAGCACTGAGCACTCCCGAAGATCAGGCTTCTCCCACTGAGGTGCCTGAATAAGAATTTAGGAAATCCTATCCATTTTCCCATTTCTCTTGTTCAGGCTCCATCACCTGCTGCGTGGATGACTTTAGCCAGGTCAAGTCAACTATTGGCTAAGCCTCTTCTCCAAGCCAGTTGGGGAAAGTCTATATAGGCATGGGCAATTGTAACAAAAAAGGACAGCTTTCTTCAGGACCATGTCTGAGCTCTTATTTTTATATCTCAAATAACAGCTTATGTAACTATTCATGAATTCTTCCACAAACAAAATACATCAATGGTCTTCTAACAAAACAAACATCTCCTGTCTACTCAAAAGGGATATGATAAACAATAGTAATATAAATATTTGAAAAATATGAAAAATATCTTGCCACTTTCCATTAAATACAAAAACATTTTTAAAAGACCAACATTAACTACAGGAAATGTTTGCAATTCAGAGGAAATGGAAGCAGATGAGCCAAAATAAAATCTTTTAACTTTGTAATATAAATTGAATTACAGGAATATGAAACCGCATCTTCAGTAAAGAGCACTGACTCAAATTTTTGACACTTGCTTGAAAAATATGAAAATATTGAGTTAAAGCAGTTATAGCTGCATGAATTAGCATGACCTCACTGAAATCAGAGGAGCTCTTCTGATTCAAACTTTGTGAGGATAGGGCTGAAGTTAACTGAACAGTGAAAAGTAAGGCCTGGTTAAGAATCAGAACTTCCAGTTTGATACAGCCAAAACTGAGGAAATGAAGCACACTTCAGAATAAGTTCGGTGTGTTCTGCAAACACTTCTTTCCTTATCAGCTTTATATATTACCACAAAGGGCTACTGCTTTTCTGTTGCTGCAGCTGCACGGCACTGAATCATGCCCAAAGCTGATTGACAATTCTCTCTTCATCTGCTGTTTTAGGTCCATACATTTACTTGACTATCTAAAGATGATCTGCAAAACTCTATGGGAAAGATTTTTTCAAAATTCATGTTGGAACCAGCTTCCTAGTAATTCATATAGATTTTTTTAAACATCAGAATATTTCTAAGAATTTCTTAGGCCCTTAGGAGCTACTGGTTCAGAATATCCCAAACTGAATAAGGTAACACAGATGAAACTTCAGGCTGCTGAGACCAGACTACCTCAAGGTACTCAAACTGCTTCATGTGCAGTTAGGTAATGTGTCACTGCATGGCTTCTTCATCTTTGATATCCACACACCACTTTAAAAATAGCCTGTATGCTTCTTAACTGCAAAGGTGCTCTTGCAAATGTTACTCTTCTGTCTTGTGCCTACAGCATTTTTTCTAACTTCCTTGAAAGAAAATATTTTCAAACATGCCCATGAGAACTTAATTTAAAAGAGCAAATCTTCCATGAGGTAATTGAAGCCCTTTCTCAAACTCCACATTGTTCACTGTAAAGCAGTACAGCTTAAAAATGCCACTTTTGAAAGAAACTGTTTAGTTTCCCCAAGTATTAGCAGGAGAGTGCAGTTTAGTATAGAAAAATGAGAGGGACTGACATACAAAGCATTATTTGAATTTTAGCGTTTAAGTTCTGAGGGAAAAATGTAAGGGACAGAAGCAGAAAGCTGAGAGAAGTTAGGCCATTTATTTTTCTTTTTTCCCTTTGCACTTTATTTCAATGTTTGTCCTGTGATCATATGGACCTCAGAAGTAAGGAATGCATGAAATGTGCATCAGTTGCTCTGTAGACTAAGGACTCCATTATTGCTTATACATGAACTTCTCTACCCAATGAAATATCAGAAATATGTTCTCTGGTACCCCTTTGAGAGTTACAACACTGTGGTGTAAGTTGTTTGGGTTGATAGAAAACAGGACAGGTCAATTGGAGCATTTTAGAGCATTCTGAATGCATAAGTCGGGGTTAGGTTTTACTTATTCTTTGCCCTGACATTAGTGATTCATAATATCTTTACCTGCTTTTGCATAAATTTTGGTGGGATGGCAAGGGCAGGCTGATAGTACAGGGTACAACACAGAAAAACCTATGGCTACATTTATCATCATGTAGAAGTCAGTAAAGCAAAATGACAAGTACAACCAGTGGAGCTACCTATTAGGCATCTTTTCATCTATTTGCACTAAACCAACCATGGAAGGTGTTACTCAAAGGAAGAGTTTCTTGCATGCTTTAGGAAACAAAAAAGTGGTTCTAGAAAAAAAAGTGGGTTCAATCTTTAGCTTAAAAAAGCCCAACCAACTGAGTATACTTGTGTTTATTCTTCTCAGCACAAGATAAAACCTAATTAGCCAAACTGATGATAAGGGGTAGCTGTCAGCATGCAGTTCAGGCCCTCAGCAAGAGGCACAACAAAACTGCATAGCAATAGCTGTGTATTTTGTACAGAAAGCTGAATTAAGAGTTCAACTTTGTTGCTATGATCCAAGGAGCCAGAGTCCTGTCTCTACAGCTGTCAGCTGCAACACAGAAGCAATCCTGCTCCAGCCTGTTACTCCAGTTGTAGTTTAATCTCTAACAAATGCTGGCATCGTTCTACCCTGCACATGCTGCTGAGCTGCAGGTAATATATACAGTCATTTTACTTAGCTCTGTGCAAATTAAGTTAGGGCTGTGACACCAAACAAGATCACTTGTGTCTCTTCAATTCCTCAGGTTAGGGGGATCAAATAATGAAGATTCTTAGTCCTGTGGTATTAATGTGACCATCCTCAAACACACAAGAGTCAACCTCCATTTTCTTCACAACAGATACAATTTTATGATAATTTCTTGTTGGTTTACAGGCTTTTCCTTCTTTGTTTATAGGTGTTTTGAAGCTCTTGTCATTTTTCACACCTCGTGGGTAGCAATGAGTGTAATGACTGACTGCTTGTGTATACCCTGAATCATGCTCTTCTAGACTGCAATATTGAACTCAAAAGGGCTTTGCCCACCTGTCCCCGGACTTCTTATGTTTGGCCAATTCATTACAAAAATGAGAGAGTTATCATACCTGATTTTTCCATCCATGATGGAAAATAAGATAAACCATGAAAAAAAAAATCAGTTAAAGCTTAGAAGGATTTACAATTAACTAGGAAAGGCAAGGGCAGCAGACAGAGAATTTGCATACAGTATTTTGCTAGAGTTAAAAAAAAAATCAGTGGGAGATTTGTGGGAATAGGGGAAACAGAACCTGTTCAGGGACATACTAAGCAGTCCTTTTAAACTCTTGACAAAATGAATGACAGTTTTGAAAAGCCCGTTTTTTAAGATTTTAATGCTACATCAAACATGTCTTGTTAGATCACATCACAACTGAGGCAAGCTAAAGGGATGTGTCGTGGAGAGAGATATGTCAGCCCAGAAATGGTGTACATTCATAAACACATGCAAGGTCTCTAATCCTGCGTTGTTTTCTTTCCTATATGACTAACCATGATTCACACAAGTTGTCCCATAAAAAACTTTACAGTGTCCACCTAATCTTAACTTAAATGCATATGGGTTATAGAAATGACCTCACTGATTGTTTATGTTATTTTAAATAATAGATTTTGCTCATTTTCTCAACAGAGATGTTTTCCAGATTATGTCAAACACAAGCATGTAAATAGTAATGAGTTAAGTAGATATTGGGCATTTGAGCTCCAGCATATTTCCAGGCTAAAGAATGAAGAGAGACAAGGTACAGTAACTGTTCCAAATGCTCTGTTCACCCTTTAACTGGAAAAAGTGAAGTGAGACCAAAATAATGTTATTTCTCTTCTCATCACCTAGCAACACTCTTCTTGTTATAGGAACAGAGCCAGTTATGAGGAAAAGAAAATTAAAGTGGGCAGAATGACACACTCTGTCTCAGACAGTCCAAAATACACTGTAAGGTGACAGACACTGAGAAACACAATGCACAATTAGCCTAATAGCAGTTTTCAGAGGCTTGCAGTCTGTCATCTCTGCAGCAACACTATGCAGAGTTCCTCCAACCGAACTACCTTAATCCGTTATGACAGCTCTATAGCAATAAATCTTGATCCTAAAAATAAGCTAAGCATAATGTATCTTCTATGCTCTGCAAGTATGAATAATATTCAGAAGCCTCCAAACTGTTGTTCCTAGAGATTCATTCACATTGTTGCACAGGCTGCCAAAGGGGAGGTTTACAAAGCAGGAAGGAACTGGAGATGACTGGGTTGTCTTCCTGCTGTCAGACTTTAGAAAACCATTCTTGCATTACACTTTTTTTAAGAAACACAGACTGATATAAATGTATTTGGAATAAGCTAATTTCAGCAGCAAGAAATGAACAGCAAAAACATAGCTAGCCACTTTAGCAATGATTCATTAAAGTGCAATGTAGTCCTTCTGGATTGTGATTTGTGACTGTACAAAAATAGTACTTAGGCTGAAGACATATTTAACAAGATAGCAATGTTAGAAGTAGACTTCTAATTCACATTCCATGTCTGAAACCTACCTTTAATTTCACTACAGCCTAAAAATAAAATTTGTAATTGAAGACTTTATGCTAATCATGTAACAGGCATATTGAGATATGTACTGTGTTTATTTGTCTGCATAATACATAGATGTGTGTAGTGAACCTCAAAATGTACAGCAGGATTCACTGAAATGCAGTAGATATTTTTAATTATCAGGGGAGAGGGAAGCACTTTTTAAATTTTTTCTGTTCCTAGAGGTATTAGTACCATGAAAGTAGCATCAAGCTTCTGCAGGAAGGTCCTCTACCTCTCTGAGTAGGTTATCTGACTAAATATAAAACCCCTCTCTTACCAGCTGTTTGAGAGGGAAATTCTTGTGCTCACTTTCAAGAATATTAAAGTAAATTCTAAAAGATGAGAAAACTTTAAAAAAAAAAATCAGAAATACCCATTGAATCACAGGGTATTCTGGAATTTGTTTCACCAGTTTCACTTCAGGCAGTCTGTACAATGTCATGAAATCTACAGATGATTCCCTCTCTTTTTCTCACTCAAGACTCTTATGGAAGGGAAACTGTTACTGCCCTCAGATCAAATACTGTTCAGCTGCTAAACTTTGGGGTACTGCATACTTTGGACAGGATAATTACACTGCAGAAATTATATACAGATACCAGCTTTATTTCCCTGTAATGATGGAGTTAGTTCTCAGGCTCACAGGAGTTAAAGGTGGTGGCTGCTGCCCCATGGTCAATGTGGGAAAGGGAAGGAAACCTCAGCACCTCACATGCAAGCTGAAAAACATAGGAATGTGTTACCTTGGAAGAACTCTGATCTCCTGCTTACAGAAGGTAAGCTCCTGTTTAGCCCCAAGATCCTATCCAAATGAAATGCAAACACCTCACTCATGTCGAGAGGTCTTTTGACAATGCCACAGTGTCCCTGATTACAAGCAGTTCCTGTGGTGCTGGAACCTCTTGCAAATACTACCAGGACTGCTTTGTGAGAAGGTACTTCTTGGATGCTCTCTATCTGAGAATCTGCCAGCATGCGCATGTTTAGGATGTCATCTTTGCTCAGCCAAGAGGGAGAGCTCTCACTGTAAATCCTGATATTGCTTTCCTCAGGCTGGGGCTGTGCTTTTATAGATTCAGAAATTCCCGCAGGTCTCCGGTGACCCCTCTCCCTGATTGCCATTCCTTTATGTCTGTGTTCAGCCAGCTGGTGCTTTCTTGTCTCCAGAGCCATTGCTGCTCCCACTGTGCTTGCAGCATACATGGCTCTCCTTGGCTGTTGGGCAAAGGCCTCTTCCTGGTCCATAAAAGTGGCTTTTGGAAAGTGCTGTCTGTAGGACAAAGGGGATGCATGTTTCTTCCTGCGCTTTGGCTTCACCGTGCCTCTGATATTGGCAGGCTTGCTGCGCTTGGACCGCAGGGTGATATAAACTACATTGGGTGGCAGCAAGGTCCCATTGCTACCAAGCTGGGGTTCCTGGAAATTGGGCAGTGACAGGGTGCCATCCAGTGGGATGCCCAGAAAAGGAGTTTGGACTGCATCTTGGAGACTTCTGGAACTGATCTTTTGGTGTCCTCCTTTGTTCTGGGGTAAAACATGACCCACTTGACTGACAAGGAATCCCAGGTAGATCACACATACAACCCCCACCAGCAGATTTCTCCTTGTCCTTGGGCGCCTGCACGTCCAGAGCCTCAGCACCCGTGGGGGGCACAGGCAGCAAATAAACAAGTTTTTGATTTTACTTGGTTGATCAAAGGTGGTCATTTCTCCAGTGAATCCACATGATGAAAACAGCATAAACTCTTCTGTACGTTCCAGCTAGGATGATGATGCATGATTTCCTTTCTCCAATTTCTATTTCTCCTTTCCAAATTCCTTCTAGCATGTGTGATGGACAGAGGCTACTTATATGCCTGGGAATGTGTTTAGCACTAAGGACGCTGACACTCCACCTTCTCAAGCTGTTAAATTCTTATCAGCCACCACAGGGAAAGTGATTGGCTTCAGCCAATGAATGGAGCCAGCTGTGTAAGCAAAGTTTACTGACTTGTAATCTAAAAGGTCCGAACTACCTCCTTTGCAAACTGCAAAAAGAAAATAGTAGTATTTAATTTCATTAGTTGCATATGGCATCTGTGGTTTTATATTTTTAAGAGACAGAAGTTCTAGATGAGAGAGTATGCATCTAGAAATTTGTCAGGATACATCTTTCACTTTCACATTACAGTATAAGTTAAACACCAAAATAATGAAATACAGGCTCAATTTGCAATTTCAGCTAGCTGTATTCCAGCATTAGAAAAAAGCTTGTCAAACCCAGATCATTATCATCTTTTTCTTATGAGACAAAGCCTTCACCAAACCTCATGTTATGGAAATGCTCTGAATTATATGATATTAACCACCAGTAGCTGTAGTAGTTAAATATGCATATATTCACTAATATAAAAATGTATTAGCAGTGCCAAATTTCCCTAGTTGAATATGAATATAGTTCACATAATTCATAAACACATTAAAGATGAAAGATGGTTAATTCTCTTTGCTCTTGTAACGCCATAAATAGGATCTAGCTATAGTTTTTCAAATATAATGACAGTGGCTTATATATCCTTTCAAAGAAACAAAGATAGAATAAGTGCACATTGTATATATATTGCCATAAAAATATAAAATCTCTTACCTATTCAGCTTGAAACATCCTTCATTCTGGTACACTCCTTAGCTTAATAAAAGTAACTTAGTAAAAGTTGACGTTCTCAGAGTATTCTAGCAGATATTTTAGTTTTAAGTATGGTTCACGTTTAGGTATTTCATTGCAAGCTAAATACTGTTTGGAAGCTAACTGTACTGAGAAGTGGTTTGCATATGAACCGCTATAAACTTACATGAACCTCAAGTTATTAAAAAAAAAACAAAAAACAAAAAACAAAACCAACACACACACACCAAAAAACCCCAGCAACTTCTATTTTAAATTCTGTAATGAAAAGTCCTGTGAAGTATGTGCTTTCCAAAAGTGCATTCCACCCATTTCTAACTCCTGAGGGCCCTCTAGTGCACTGCATGAGAATGTACTGAAGAAATTTCCATTTTCTACATCTGTTTGGTTGTTTGGTTGATTTTTTATTTTAAAATACCCCCTCCATCCCCTGAATTTTAGAACTTTGGGGAATCATATGTTCTTGTGATGAGAAATGAAAAACAGATAGTGGCTTTTAAAACGTTATTAACATGCTATTAAACAGCTCAGGAGTGTTTCCTATTTGTGCTTTCCAAAATGAAGCACAACATAGTCACTACGCAGATGGAAAAGTTGAGGCAGAGAGAAGTTAAGAGCTTGTGCAGAATTAAGCAGTAAGACACTAGCAAAGCTCTGACTTCTGACTCCTTGCCTAGTCTAAGTATGAAATAATAAAATGTGCATGTTTGCTGTAATTCAAGCTAATGGAGATATTATCTTTCCATAATTAATACTAAAGGAAATAGATGGTTAAGGAATTGGTTTATGTTTCAGATGGGTCCAACCTGAATTTATAAAATTTTGTGAGTGGATGTTTTTCACTGACCATCACTTTACTTTTTGTCTAAACATGTACTATCAAGTTAAGATTTCATCATCTGTGCCTGTTACTAGGAAAAATGCCTTCATATAACCTGATTTTTCCAAACTTGAGTTCTTGGAGGAATAGAGATTGTAAGAAATCTTTCTGGCCACTGAAGTTTTTTTTTTTTTTTTTTTTTTTTAGTTCAGATTTGACTGAAGGGACATATCCCAAACAAAGAAGATTAATTCAAAAAGCTCCAAAGTGTATCAATAAAGTCAGTAAAGATGTGGCTACTGCCACTTAACATTTTTTATATTTGAAAGAAGTTGACAGAGATGAATATTATTAGATCAGCCTTAGATGCCTGAGGGTCCCTCTGAAAGATGAAGGGTTTTTAGCAAGAGGTACCAGCTTTGCAGCCCATTTAACCAACAGAAGTATGTGGGTCACTCCTATACCCTTTTTTTAGTACCAGTGCAAACTCAGTGAAAAATATCAATGAAGTTCTACAGTTAAAACCGTATAATAAGGGTAAATAAAGGTAACTAGGTACTACAGATTGAGAGCAGAATTTCACCCATAGCATGTAATTTACACATACACATGGAGAAATTTTTTTAAATGTCTAAGATAGGCTCCCTCCTTTAAGGATAAATAAAACACACACAAATAAAAATTATACCTACTGGATTCTGTTTTGACTTAGTGCTTATTTTGACAGCAAATAATTCAGCATGAAGCTTTTACTCCACTATATTTCTTCCAAGTGTCTTTGAATTATTTTGGGGGATTTTACTTTATATTGCTAATGGCAGAGAGTTCCTCGACTTGGAAATGTATGACACTGCAACAGTTGTTTTAAAATGCCCAGTTCTTGCATGCAGACAGCACCATGAACTGTCCATTACAATCAAGCAGTGTTAAAACACAGACCATTCCAGTTATTAACAGTTTTCCTTTGTTATGATGTTTCTCTTAAACTAAAATTTTGGAACCTATGTAATCTTCCCACTGCAAATCTTTAAAGATTATCTGGAGGAAATTACAAAAGGATATGGAGAATTTTCTTCACTCGTTATTTCATTTGTAACCTTGAAATCAAAATGTGTTCCCACAGATGGACAGTGTTGACTGCTGAAGTTTTTTTGAGGCTTTCTAAATGTGATGATAGCAATACTTCCTTTATTTTTCATGTTCAGAAAGGAGAACTGTCTTTAAATTTTGTACTTTACATACTTTGGAATGGATCATGGTAGGAATTCAACTAAACAGTATTCAATATCTTGTAAATTTAGCAGACTTTGCCTCTAATTCTGGATCTCTAAAAGATAACATACCAAGAGACATTATTTTTTCAGCTCTCATGGTATACAGCTCCAGCATCCTACTAGATTTCACAAAATAATTCAGGCTGGACTCGTTAAGGACTTGTTTGAAAAACAAACATTTTTTTTTTTATGTTTCAGGAAAGACAAAGAAAATGTTTGTTGTTCAGGTGGGTAGTAATATTCTTTCTGGAATCATTACTAAACCAAAGCTGCAGCAGGGCACTAAAGGGCATTACTGAACTGAAAGAATACTTCCTCTGTGGTCATAAAACATTCAAGACCAATATTTTGAAATAATAGATGCACAATGCTAGTCATCTGACTGAATTCTGGCATAAGTTATTGCATTTAGCCTACCTATATTTAGCCTGCAATGTCAGTTAGATTCTATATTTATTCCTTGCTCTAAACTATATCTGTGATATTACCATCTGCATCCATTAAACTTAGCTTCTCATGTAATTTCTTCAGTCATCCTCACCTATTCAATCTCCTCTAGTGTTTCACCTTTGTATCCTTCTTAATCCTACCAAGTACAGCTTTTTCCTTCTAATCTGAATTATTCTTCATAATCGTTTTTCGCAATGTCTTTCGTAGGTGATCTTCTGTCTTCTTTAACCTAGACTAAGTACAGCCTTTTGGGATAGTGAATACTACACCTGGAGAACTAAAGAAAAACACAGAGAAAACCGTTTGTAACAACATAGTGATACAATATTTTTAATCATACAGAAAGCTACCTAGCAACTAATATGTTTCTCTCCAAAATGCTAGGTTGTCAATTTTTACAAGTATCAGTAAAGTAATACATTTCCTATTTCTTTATCTAACCCTTTCTTCTTGCTCCACTCAGTCATTTCAGTTTTAAGAGACATGGGATTTAAACATGCTTATTTTTTTAGTTTTCCAAGATGTCTCAGTTTAGTTCTTTCCACTGTAGTTACAACTGCAGAAGTTCCTCTGATTCAGCAAAGAACAAAATATTGTCTGTGATGGTTTGTTGAGCATTTTGCACAAACGACACTCTTTAAGTGGACACCTGTTATATTCACAGAAGGCTCTGAAATTTGAAATATGAATGTTGCCATTTTCAATTTTAGTAAACACTAGGCATTCATAGATTTCCTTCCCCATATACTTTTCATCTCCAACAACCTCTGATTTCAATAAAACCAGACAGGACAAATAAATGAATCAGAATCTGCCCCTATTTGAGGTGTTTTATTTATACCGTCAGTGGCATTTTAACTGTTGTATTAATGAGAAAAACAATTCTCCAAAACCAGCATGGTTTGAAGAAATAGTGAGGAATAGATGAAACAGTGAGGACCAGGTTACTATCAGTTCAAGTGGGATAGAGACACTAATTAGAAGTAATTGCTGATGATTCTTCTGAGATGCATTCTTCCAAAGGAAACCAGGGGCAGGAATTTTGGAAAATATTTTGTTCAATACCAAGATTCTTCTGAAGCCAAACCTCAATACCCCTCTTTATCCCTGGACACTTGAAAGGATGTAGTTTCAGCCTAGGTTCATTATTGTGCATGCTCTCGATTTCTATGTGCAGGCAGTTCAGTGTAAAAGATTAACATTTTTGTTAATATTTTCTTCTCTCTCTTTTTTTTTTTTTTCTGAATAAAATAATGCTATTGTCTTTAGAATAAAAAGCACTCACTTTATACCAGGCTACATTTGTGATTATCAGATTATCATATGGAATATTGTTCCTCTTGGATGCACTGTAGCTAAACTGTTTCCATAGAGACATTCTGCAGTTCATCTCTCTAACTGTCAGACAGGCATTTATGTTAAAATAATTGATAAATGGTACATTCCTAGCTTTACCGAGTCCATTGGACTGAGAACTTACTCTCTGGAGAAAAACTGCATGTCCTTATTATGGATAATGCAGATTTGATTTACAAAATGTGAAGCATTATTTTAGAAGGATTGTGCTGTGTTTGTAAGGAGATCGATTTGGGCTGCCATCTGGAAACTGTACTCCAAGAGGACAGAAAGAAATGCTTGCTTCGTGACTAAACATGCTGACTAATAGTCTGTGCTTTATCTGCTCTGGGTCAAATCCTTACAGGGAAATCACAGAATCATCTAGGTTGGAAAGGACCTTGAAGATCACCTAGTCCAACCGTTAACCTGGCATTGACAGTTTGCAACTACACCATGTTCTTAAGCTCTAAGTTGACCCTACTCTTAAATACCTCCAGGGATGGGGACTCCACCACCTCCCTGTGCAGCCCATTCCAACACCTAACAACCCGTTCTGTAAAGAAATGCTTCCTAATATCCAGTCTAAACCTTCCGTGGTGCAACTTGAGGCCATTCCCTCTTGTCCTATCACTTGTTACTTGGTTAAAGAGACTCATCCCCAGCTCTCTGCAACCTCCTTTCAGGGAGCTGTAGAGGGCGATGAGGTCTCCCCTCAGCCTCCTCTTCTCCAGACTAAACACCCCCAGTTCCCTCAGCCGCTCCCCGTACGACCTGTGCTCCAGACCCTGCACCAGCTTCGTTGCCCTTCTCTGGACACGCTCGAGTCATTCAATGTCCTTTTTGTAGTGAGGGGCCCAAAACTGAACACAGAAATC